TCTTGTGCTAGGTGACTTTAATAAAAACAAGAAATTAAACCAGGAACAGAGATAAGACAAAGGTATAATCTATTCTGCCATATCCTCAAGATTCTTTTCTTTTAGCCTAAATTTAAATGCTTTGTGTGTGTGTGTGTGTGTGTGTGTGTGTGTGTGTGTGTGTTGATGCATGCTACAGTGTGCACATAGAGAAAAACTTTTGGCATCTGTGTAGCTTTGCACCTTTCCTGGAACTCACTCTGTAGCCCAGGCTGGCCTCAAACTCACAAAGATCCGCCTGTCTCTGCCTCCTGAGTGCTGAGATTAAAGGCGTGTGCCACCACTGTCCGGCTGGCCCCCCCCCCCCCGCTTTTTTTTTAACATGTGTTCCGTGATTGAACTTGAGCCATTTGGATCGCACTGCAAGAGCATTTACCTGCTGAGCCATGTCACTGACTCACTGTCCCTGAGTTTCTTTCTATCCAGGACTGCAGAGCAGCACCCCTGCTTTCTCCACATGCTCTTAAGCCTTCTGTCCAGTGTTGATTGCTTTGACCAACTAATATATTCAGGTGGCAGTCCTCTCTGAGCTGGTGTGCTGACTTGCTTGGTTTTGTGGGAAACAGTGGCTTGAACCAGAGCATAGAGCACAAAGCAGGCAGCAAGCCAGATCATCATCAGACACAGTCAATTTCCTGCTAGTTACTCAGCCAAACTATAATACCAGGAGTTAGAGTCGGGTCAGTTGAACAACTTGTACTCAATAATGTGTGGGCAAAAGTGATGTCATATAGTCCCTTCTAGGTGTGACTCACAGTAATGTCTTCTCTCTTGTTGCTTCGTAGTGGCCTGTGGGCTTCATGCCAAAGGGACAGAACCCCATGATGGCAGCCTAGAGGAATTCTGCTTAACTTAGAGGCTGTGATACAAATGGTAGCCACATGTAGAAATTTCATTGCCTTTTCATGGTAGTCTGGCTGTGCCTACCTATTATTATCATTAACTACCTTTACATAAAATGATACAGTTCCATCACATGAAGTTCTTGCTTATTTGAGGCAGGATCAATGAATAAATCCTTTCTGTTCCCTTTTCATATTCAGTATAAACTGAACATAATTTCTTTCCAGAAAGGCAGTTCCCACAATAATTTTTTTAAAAAGATTCAATTTATGTGTATTTTGCCTACATCCATGTATGTGTATTGTGTGTGTGCCTCATGACTATGGAGGTAAGAAGAGGGTATTGGGTCCCCTGAAATTGTAATTATGGATGGTGGTGAGCTACCTTGTCGGTGATGGGAACCGAACCTGGGCCCTCTGAAAGAGCCAGTGGTCTTAACTGCTAAGCTAACTTGCCACCCCAGTTTTGCAAAGAGATTTTGTGCTTTCCTCTTCTGCTATGTCAGAAGTCTTCAGGGTCAAGACACATAGCACCCTGCTGACTTACTTAATCACCGTAGGAGAACTCATTTCTCCTTAACAACCCTCTAGCCAAGGCCAACACAAAAAGAGAACCTTCAGCCAGGAGCTGATCTGCCTTACAAAAAGGAATGTGCCAACAACTTCCCAGAACAAACCCTGAGCAGAATTCCTTCCTTCAGCACACACTTAATTCCTGTTTCTCTGAGTGCCAGGTCCAGCCTTGGAACTTAGGATTCTCTGGTGACTAAAACAAAGGTCTTGCCTGTCTGTTCTCAAGGGAGTTGAGTTTTATAAGTTTTGGGGGGCTGAGTTTAATGACTAAATCATTTAAGTGCTAAGGAAAAGGGAGACCTGGAGCCTTAGAGATATAGGGTTAGGCCTAGGAATTGTTAATAGCATTACAAGGGCATTTGTGGCAACTCTCACTGAGAATCTCACTCTCACAAGAAAGCTTGGAGAATATTCCAAAGTGATGAACAAAGTAGCCATGTGAATAGCCAGAGAAAGAATATTCTAGAAAAGCCAGTGAACTGCTTTAAGGAGAGAAACATGACTGCATATCTCAGGAGCCTCATGTCATGAGAGCAGAAAAGCCACTGGAAAGAATAGCAGATGAGTTTACAGAGCTCTGGGTGGGGGAGCACACTGATAGAGCTTTGAGGACTATGAAAGGTTTTGTTTTTACATGGGCATGGTGGCAGACAAGTATTGTTACAGCATTTGAAAGATGGAGGCAGGAAGATCAGGCAGTCTAGGCCAGTCTCAGCTACAAGAATGTTCAAGGCCACCCTGAGTTACCTGAGACCCTGTTTCAAGGAAGGGAATGGAGTAGAGAACAGGAATAATAATGAATGGTGTTTCTTCAAACCAGAAAATACTACAAACCTATCTCAAAAGTTGCTTGCGCGGGGAATTTATTAAGTCACATGAATAATAGAAAAGGCTATTAAAATCAACATGGTTGCCTACACATTGGAACTGGTGAAATTCTCTTTCCCAGTAAAACTATATCCAATTAGAAAAATTACTGATTCATTCCGTTTGGGTCACCAATCTTTTTAAACCAGTCATTGAGGTCTGGTAGGTAAATTCTTGGGATTGGCCAGGATGGGTTATCTTTCAGTCTGCCATCTTCTGGAAGGTGTAGGATTGGGAGACCTATAGGCAGGAAAGCCAAAAAGGCTCTTTCTACTTGGATAAAAGATTTCGGCAGAGGCAGAAATGAAGCTCAGCAGGCGTTGTCAGCCACAAAAGACACGGAAGCCCACACGGAAGCCCACACGAAAGGAAAGAGATTTTCTTCCACAGAGAGATAAAAAGGACTGTGTGTCAGAAAATATCACAGTCACATTTATGAAGTGAAAGACAAGTAGAAAAATTTATGCAGGAAACATGACAATAAAGATAAAACTCTCTATATAAAGAGCTAGCTCATAAATATCAATAGAAAAGCAAAATCCCAGTGATACATGCCCAAAGAACATGAGCAAATTAATTCCCCAATCAGAAAATACAAGCAGCTGACAGAAATCTGTCCACCCTCATTAGTAAATGAAGACAGGGTAGTTAAAATAGCAATGAGAAACCATTTCTCATGCTGACATGTTGAAGTGTCCATGTTTATAGGGCCCTCAAGGTCAGCGAGGGCCCCACAAAGTGGAAATTCTCATTTTATAATTGCTAGCAGTATGACTTTGTAACGTAATTTGGTGATTAGTGCCAAATATTCATTAACCCCGGGGCCTCTCCTGAAACTGTAGCCTGGTGTAGACAGAAACTGTGGTTAAAAGAGAATGTTAGTAGTTTTATTTAAAGGAAGAAGGACTCAAGTAAGCTGAGTGGTATCCAACAGGGAAGTGGTACAATAACCTTCAGCCATTATTATGAAATATTTGTCAATGACTTAGGGAAATGATTGATAAGAAAATGCCACCTCAAGAAGAAATGGACAGCCATGACACAGGGTATGATTCATACAATACTGAAGATAATATAAAATGAAAATAAATCAAAGCTATTACCTGAAGTTGCTCATAGGATTTTATCAATTCACACTCATTATTTTGATTGATTGGTATATAGAGAAAGAGACAGTGGTAAAGGGTCCTCTCAATAGCTGTTTCTTCCAGGCATTGATTTTTTTATATGCATTTTCTCCCCTGTTCTGCTGTTGGTAAATCAAAAATAAATTTGATACTGGCTAAGTAGCTTATCCATAAAATTTCATTTTTTGTGTACTTAAAATTTCTATTCCTACTTTTTAAAGACATTCAGGATAGGTGCTGAAAACTTACCCATTTTTATGGAATTTCAAACAAGAAAAAAAGAACATTCTAATTTAGTACTCATTTTTTGTTGCTAAAAAAATCCTAATTTGAATGCTTTCTCAAATTTTTATAACTATAAAAATATTATAATGCAAAGATAAATAATTTAAAAACACCATAATTATAATTTTAGCTACTATAACTTTAATATTTACATTTATTAGCTAAGTATTAGTTTTATTTCATAGTAATTAGAGAATAAGACTTTTATCTGTGAGGTACAAAAATAATCACAGAACAAGAAATAACTTCAATGGTGGGAAGTTTACACTTTGAATCTGGATAACTAAATGTTTATTCAAAATGAACATTCAACACTGAAACAGACAAATTCATTTAACTAAAAAATTAATTCCTTTCTGCAGTCCCCTCTTGGTATAGTTTGGCTGAGAAATCTCCCCTCACAGTCTCATGTTTGAACGTTGGTAGAAGCATTGGCAGAGAAGCATGAGTGACAGGCAGTCTGTCTTGAATAGCTGGGTATAGAAGAAGCATTGTACCCAGCATGGTTTGAATCAAGTCAAACAATCATCATGGTCACTGTGAACCATGTGTTGAAGGTGCCTGCTCTAACAGGGGACTGTGCTACCTGCTTTTGATTTCCTTTTCAAATTTTATTTACTGCTAGAAACATGCTGCTCTATTGTGGCAGCCTAGATGTCCTTAGGCCAGTCCATTTCTGGCATTTTATGAAAGGGTTCAGTTGATTGCCTACAAGAACAACACCTGGACAACTGGTAGTACTTGTTCTGAAAGAGATGGAGGGAATTACGTTTGGTGGAATGTTTATGTATACTCACTTTGGAAAAGACATTGAGTTTTTTTTTATGGTGATTTTTGGTGGCCCTGTTTTGCAGTTTGAACTACTTTTGCAATTTTATTTATCATGACTGTGGCAGCAGTAGATTGAAGGGCGTGGCTGCCACGTTCACACAGCCAGTCAGTACCAAGATCACAGGAATGCGTGAGAGAATTCCAGTAAAGGGGGATGTACCTATTGTCTTTATCTCAGCAACCTATGTTAGTAAGTTAATTTTCTTTATCTAGCATAAAGAAAAAACGGTTGTGGGTATGTATGTCTGTTGAAACTTCTCTGTAGTTTGAGAAACATGGGCAAAAACTTCAGTTAGTCTCAGTGAGGGAAGAAAATCATTGAGTCAAAGAGGACTTACAGAGGCAATTTTAAATATGCTTATTTACAACCAAATAGTATTAAATGAGCCCAGAATAATTGCTTGTGGCTAAAGAACAAATTTCACAAAATGCATAGTTCCACATTATCCTCTCAAAGAAGTTTATTTGCACTCTGCTCTAACAAATATAGTTTGAAGGCAACAGTCATTGAAGTGTCATAGTGTGTGGCACAGATGAAAAGAGACAAACAGACTCAGAAGCTGGCCAGCATTTCCAGACTGGTTCAACAGAAGAGGCACGTGTTACCCTATTAATACCAGAAGACATTTTTTTTTTCCTTGCAAGCAACAGACTACATTTATTCGCATTAAGTAAAAACGTATCTTGTTCAAGAAAATTACTTTTTTCCTGATTTTCCTTTATATCACAAATGTCAGGGTAAGGCAAATCCTTAATGAGTCATATGATAAAAACCCTATTTCCCGAGAAAATATATTGAACATATTCTGTTAACTGTTGTTGTTCAAAGCACAGCTGACATGCACCACATACAGAGAAATGTCTTTGCAAACCAAGTGCATCAAGCAGAACTGTATTAATTCACAAAGAGGCTTTTCAGTGTTCCATAGAAAGATTTACAATTAGCTGCGGTGATTAATATGTGACCCAGTATCATAGACAGTACTTCAGAGGTCTTCTTTGTAAGCTTTTATCAAAGAAGACTTGTCCATCATCTGAATAGTTACCAGCAAGAGGAAAAGCCCCTTTGTCTAGCCTGCAGTGAGTACCTTTTTAATTAGGACTATCATGTTGAAGGCCTACTTCAATCCTCTGTATGCAAACATGACTAAGAACAGGGCCACTTCCCTCCACGCTCCTGTTGCCCTTCGTGGCATGTGGCCCGGCTGAAGTGTGATTGGAAACTGCCATCCAGAATTCACGTGTGGCCGAACTGGTCCACTTCCCACATGGACTGCATTGTACAGCCTGTGCAGTGACAGGGCCAGCAAACAGGCTCTCCTTGTTTGTAACGCCTTCAGTCTGGCCCAGAGCTAAAATTTTAATATTTCATTATTGAAGTGTAAATTAACTGCATTATTTATTTTAAAGCATACAATCATTCAGCCACATAGCAACCAAAAATCTACTGCAAAGCAAAAATGAAAATGTCTAATTCATAAAAAGAAGTTTAAGCAAATTCAGGAGTGGGACGACTCCTTCTCTGTTTCCTAGATACAAAGAGTGCTTTCCTTTTCCTACAGTTTTCATAGAATTCTCTCTTCCTATTTTTTAACCCATGCAAGATGAGTGAATCAAATGGCTGCCATTGATAATAAGGAGAAAGGTGGGCTGGGTCACTTCAGTCCTGGCTGTTCCTCTTTCATTTGTGTCCATTGAGAAGCCTGCTGTCCACTATTGCCCCATTAGGAGTCCCAGCAGTACTTCCCCTGGGAGTTATGGGGAAACACCTTCCTAGCATGGGCCTCTTGTCAGGCACTTCATAAAAATGATGGGTGCTTGTAAAATAGGTATGAAGATGGCCAGAAACTTTGAAGCTATCAATATTTGAACGGCATGCTTTCTTCAATTATTTAGAGAAAGCATTGTTCTAGAAAAGGGTGTGTAATGGAGAGGTATATGCGTTCGTGTTGAACTGTAGAAAGAGAAAAGGCCATGGGGAAACACCATGAAATTGCTGAAATATCCTTGTTGCTATGATGAATCGCCTTAATGAAATTTAGAGATGTTAAAAGGTAACTTATGCAGATATATGATTTGCTACTTATTCTATTATGCAAAATATGTAATCTGGAAGAGGCAATTAATTCAGAACAGCCAAAGCTAGTCTTAAGAAGATAAGATGAATTTTCCACAGGAAAGGGCAAAACTAGAGAATTGGATGAGATATTTATAAATTGGTATCATCTCCCTATTGACTTTAGATATTGTCAGTTCCACTTTTCCGTCTTCTGTTAGGAGTAGCAACACAAACATCCCAATTCTAAAACATACATTGTAGAGTTAAGGTGATATGCAAAAGATACTACCATGTCTTTGGAACCCAGAGAGGCAGTGTGAGAACTTCAGTTTGTTTTGGGACAGATAGTCAGGCTAATGCCCAGCCTCCCATGGTCTTCATTTCTTGAGCTAACACTATTCCACTGGCTTCTTAAGTTGTTAATAGTTCTGGCTCCCTTTTGGATGAGTGGATGACCCATCAAATCCTCCTTGGACTTGGCATGAGCAGACTAGGAAGCCAGGACTGGAAGCAATGACTCTTACTGCTCCTAACTTCAAGTGTGAGCCTCTGTGGGCTATCACACTTTGGCTCAACATGGATATTCTTTTATGAAAAGTAGAGATTTCAAGTGGAACTTTGAAAACCAAAATTATTATTTAATAGGTTTGTTTGGGCCCTAAAGGAAGCAAGCACATCTCTTAGGTCTTAATGAAAGGAACACCATTTCCCACTGTGTACAAAGATCCACATCTCAGTGATGGGCTCCATATGGAAGCACAGAGTGAAGACCTCATACACCAAAGAAGCCGTGCTCAAAATCAGCCTCAAAAGTGAATGCACATGACATCCTGGGTATGGAGGTGGAGACTGCAGAGGCTGCCAGGTCCCACCTTTTTTATTAACCCCCAATTAAAATATTTTGAACTCTTCATTTAGACCTTTTCAGAGTGTTGTCTGAGGCTTGTGCCCATTTTCTATTCTTTCTCCTCTGTCTGTGGATCATAACCAATGTTGAGCATGGGGATTCTTGAAATTTAGCCTGCAGCTTGTTAATCACCTCCTTCCTTTTTCTTGGAAGAAATCACTCTATGATCAGCTTTGTGAGATAACCAAGGAAGCAGACAGGGCCCAGGAGACTCAGGTGAGTATGAACCCTATCACCAACCCTAGGGTGAGGCATGGAGAAAAGACAGAAAAGATAGGGACCGAGTGCCTGAAAGATGGCCTTAGCACGGAGCCTCTCCTACTCTCACGAGTGGAGGGAGCTTGCTTGCTTATTCTTTTTTCTTTTTTTTAAATTTTCTTTTTCTTTTCCTTTTTTTTTTCTGTAGGTAAACAGAACAAAATGCAGCTGGAGAATTAGAGCAAAGGATCCCCTTCCTTCCGCAGACTTGCCTTCCCCCCTCCCCCACCCTCTTCCACAGCACACACTATCATCTTCCCAAGTCCCCCAGCGCCAGGCCTTGCAATGCTGAGGGTTGTCATTTAGCTTTAGTTCTTTGTTCCTTTGCTTCATCTTGTGGCCCTGAGGAAGACAAAGAGAAACAAACCATTTGTTAGATTAAAGATTAGGCATCTTCACAAGGCTCAGCAAGGAATATCTTTTTAATGCAGCCCATGAAATGTCTCTCAGTCCTCAAACAGGCCCAGGAATAGTTCATTTGACTATCAAAGAGCTTTACCTATCTGAACTGTAATTGCTGGCACATGGTATCTTTAAAGATATTATGAATCACTGCTAATAAATGTAGGCCACATGACACACTGCTTCAGCTGATGGGGACGATTAACTCAAGTGTTCAAAGAATCCTTTGAACAACCTAACTTTGATGTGTCCTTCCTTCCCCAGACTATTCACACATTCTAGATTCTAGGGCCCGTTATGTAAATAATGACTTATATTATGCTGATTTGCAAAAGCCATTGATGAGACCTTTCTTATTGCATATCTGCTGTGTTCTCCACCCATGAGACAACTTTAATAGACTCTTTTCCAAAACAGTCTGTGCTCATTTTAGTTAGACTTTTAAAACTGAAGTCTAGTCCACCTCCAGGGAAATGCACAAATCAGATGTACTTAGTTGATTATAGTTTTAAGATTCATATTTAGTCTGTGACACTATCAGTATCTAAAAAAATCCTCATGACTCTAGAAATATCTCTTCCCCAAGTTCAATCCTGTTGGAACCAACAACTGTAAGGTAGTGTTTCTTGATCTAGAATTTCTACAAATGAGATCTCTACAAACAGGATCACACAAGCATCTTGTGCCTGGCTCCTTTCACTCAGCACAGTGTTCCTGAGAGTTATGCTGCTGCTTCTCAACTTTATTTTGTTCCTTTGCAATGATGACTACAGATACTCTGTATGGAAAAATCACGTTTTTTCATCCATTCTACTGTGAGATATTAGACTGTGCCAAGAACATAGCATTCATATGAATGGGGTTCAGTGTGATATTTATATTCAGGCATACAGTGTGCATTTTTCTAGCCCAATACTCCCCACCTCTACCCCGCCCAAGCTAGACTTTTCTTAATCTCTAACTGCCACTATCCCCATTTCATGTTGACATTTTTGTTTTGTGGCTTATTTCACTTAACATAATGTACTATGTTCCATTCATTTTGCTGCAAAGGGTGGGGTTAAATTCCATTATGGCATTTTCTTTGTTCATGGACAGGACACCTAGCACAATCCTCTATCTCAGACACTATGACTAATGTGTCATAACATAACTTAACATAACATAACATAACATAACATAACATAACATAACATAACATAACATAACATAACCATGTGCATGTGGATATGCCATGCTGATCAACTAAGGACTGGGATGGCTCTATCTTTTTCCTCCTACTTTTCTTTTATTGAAAATAGATATTTTGTCAGACATGTACTCTGATTACAGTATCTCTTCCTCCAAATCCTATGAGCTATATCTTATAGCAATTCTATTTTTCCTTTTCTGAGGAAACTTCATATTGTTTTCCACAGGGAATATACTGACTTACATTACCACCAACATTAGGTAAGTTCTTTTCTGCTACACCAGCCTTTTAAAATCAATAGTGATGCTGAATGGGGTGAGATGGAATATTACTATAATATGGATTTGCTTTTCCCTCATGTCTAATAATATTCATTGGGGTTTTTTTTTGTTTTGTTTTTTTGTTTTTTTTTGTTTTTTTTAATTAATTTATTTTTTAATTACACTCATGATATTAATCACATTTGTGGTATTCATAGATTACATTTGCAGTATTCACTCAATTATATATATATATATATATATATTTAATTTTAAATGTCGAATGTCATTTCTTGAAGGGGGTAGGAGGTCTTAATTACAGGCTTACAGCACAATGGGAGGACCCCAGAGGGCAGAAGTTCACTACTGATGTTTTACAATCTTGCATCTAAGCTGTTAATGCCCATTATTCAGGATACACAGACAAGGAACTTCCCTTGGGCATTCAGGAGGGTGGAACCTGGTAGGGAATTAGCATTGGGAGGATATCAAGGTCAAGGTCCACAAGCAAGGCAACAGTTACCCAAAACGGGGTCCAGGGCCCCGCAGGCTCCCCTTTTATTAAAAAATGAGCTTCTGACTTGGGTTGTGTGGGACGTCAGCAGGTCACCTTACCCGTCATGGAGACGCCTACCCAGGCCACACAGGTGCTCTGTCTTAGGTTGGTGAGTGCTCCCCATGCATTACCTGTCTCTGAATACTCATTATCATACCAGCTCAATCGTGTGTGAGCTGCATGGTTAATTACTGCCAAAGATCTCAAAGTGGCACTGGGCTTGCAATCTGTGTGTTCAATACAGAAAAGACCAACAGAGGTCCTATCTCACCCATAGCCAGTAGGCTAAAGGCAGCTGAGCCATTCTCATTGGGGTTTGTGTGTGTGTGTGTGTGTGTGTGTGTGTGTGTGTGTGTGTGTGTGTGTGTTTCCATATAGTAGTTGGCCATTAGTATTTTGTTTGAGAGGTGTCTATTTGGGTTTTCTTATTAAGTAAAAAATTTACTTTGAAGTTTTTTGGTTTCTGCTCTGAATATTCTTTCTTTCAGATACGTAGCTGGCAAATGCTCCCTTCCATTCTGTAGATGTCTCTCTGTTATGTTGCTTGTTTTTGCTGCATAGAAGCTTTGCAGTTGGATGTAATCCTACTTATGGAGTTTTTCTTTTGTTCTTGAGCTATTGGAATCCTATGGGGTAGGGGGAGACACATTGCCCAGACCAGTGACATAAAGTGTTTTGCAGGGGAGGAACAGAGATACACATGCCATGTGCACCATGAGGGACTAACACAACCCCTCACCCTGAGATGGGAACCTCCTCAGTCCACTGTCCCTATCATAGCAATCATTGCTGTTCCGGTTCTCCTTGTAGCTGTGGCCATCATTGGAGCTGTGGTGGCTGTTGTGAGGAAGAGGAGAAACACAGGTGCAAAGAGAGGAAACTATACTCTAGCTACAGTGTGAAGACAGCTTCCTGGCCTGACAGAGTGACAGATGATGTACTCAGGTCTCTCCTGTGACATCCAGAGCCTCTCAGTTCACTCTCAGCAACAGTGTCTGTCTGATGTTCCCTGTGACCCTATGGGCTCAATGTGAAGACCTGGGGAACCCAGCCACACCTGCACACCAGGACCCTGTCCCTGCACTGCCTGTGTTCCCTTCCACAACCAACCTTCCTGGTTCAGCAGACGGGAGGGGACACCTCCATCCTGTCACTTCCATGCTGCCCTGAGCTTCAGCCCCTGACTTCCCACTGAAAATAAGAATCTGAATGTAAACTTGGTTGTTCATGCCCTTGATTTGACAGGAGGATTGGTGGGTAAATTAAATGATTGAAATACTTAGAGTTTGTGGAGGAAATAAATGGCAGCATGGAGAACCTTCCAAAAAAAAAAAAAGTGTTACATTTATGTCTTTGATTTAGTTGATTTTTGTGCAGGGTGAAAAAATGGTGGTCAAATTTCAATCATCTGCACGTGGATTCTGGCTTTTCAAGCACTGCCATGCCTTCAACCTGGATTTTTTTTTTCCACTCTGGATTATATTTCTGTTGTTGTTTTCTGTTCTCATGTGATTGGGTTTCTGTTGCTGTTGTTCCATTTCTGTGAAGAAACTCTTTGGTTTTATATTAGTTCTTTTCTCATTGCTGTACTAAATGCTGGACAAGGAGTTTAAATGAGGAAGGGATTCTCTAGGCTGCAGTTGAAGAAAGGACACAGTCAATCACGGTGGGGGAGGGAAGGGAAGGCGGCAGGACTGTGCACAGTTAGTGGACCCGTGTCCACAGTTGGGAAGTAGGAGGGAGACTGGAAGTATTCAACTTCCCGTTAGCATCCACAACCTTCTAAGACAGTGCATCAACGAGGGACCAAGTTTACAAACATCAGGCCTAGAAAGGCCGTCTCACATCCAGACCATAGCAGGTGTAATGGCAGAGATTGTATCAAGCCTATAGGTCACTTTTAGGTAATAGGAACAATTTAACAATGCTAGTTCTTCTAAAACCACGAAATGAACTTCTCTTGTGTTTGTGTCTTTGAGTACATGCATCCACGTCTTACAATTTTCACTAGCAAGATCCTTCAGTTAAATTTATTTCTAATAGTATATTTTTGTGGTTATTTTGAAGGATTGAGTTTCTGACTTCCTTTTCACAGAAAATTGTTATTGGTATACAGAAATGCAACTGATTTTATAAGATAGGACCTGTGTATTGCTACTTTATTGAATTTATCTGTCTTTCCTATATAGGATCATATCATCTTCAAACAGAATACTATCTTTCTTCTCTTTCCATTTATGTCTTTATTGTTCTTTTTAAAACTTCTAGTACCCATATCTAGTAAAGAGGAGAAATATCTGTCTTCTTATTGGTTTGCTGCAGCTTGAATGTGAAAGTCCACCATGGGCTCAGGTCCTTGAACACTTCATTTCTAAAACTAAGTTTGGGGATGTTGTGGAACCATTGCAAGTCAGTCCTATCTGGATGACACGAGGTGTTTAGAAGCAGACTATTGAAGTTAGTACTCATTTCCAATTCTGGTTCAAGATCCTGCTTCCCGATGCTCCAGATAATAAGCAATCATTTAAAATTTTTTAGTTTGTTTGTTTTGCTTTTTTCAAGACAGGGTTTCTCTGTGTAGCTTTGGAGCCTTTCCTGGAACTCACTCTGTAGACCAGGCTGGCCTTGAACTCACAGAGATCCACCTGCCTCTGCTTTCTGAGTGCTGGGTTTAAAGGCGTATACCATCGCCACCCAGCAAGCAGTCATTTTTAAGCACCTATTGTCAACAAACTAGGCTGTCATAGCCTAATGGACTATCCTATCTAAATCCATCTTCTTTTCCTTGACATTGTTCCTAACAGGTATTTTGCCACAGCAGTTAAAAAATGCTGATACACTGGGCTTAGAAGATAGACTTTCATTTTTCCCCATTTGGTATAATGCTGGCCATGTCTATTTTATGAAGGTGTAATATTTGTGGTGGAGGGAAGGGTTCATGAGTGGTGCTAAAACATATGATAGAATTTAATGTATTGAAATAATCATATGATCTCTGTCTTCCAGACTATTTAAATTCATTACATTTATTGAGTTGTATGTATCAAACTGTCATTACATTCTTGGGATAAAATCAGATTGATAATGCTGAATGGTCACTTTTTCATGCTAAATTCATCGGGCTTTTTACTTCTTTCATCTAAGTGTAATAGTTTTGAAAGAATTGGCTTCAGTTTTTTAAAGATTTTTGTGAAAACATATAGTCATTGTGGGTATGGCCTTGAAGGTTTTGTTGGAACTCCAGTGGCCTTTTCCCTGTCTTGATGTTCCTGCTATTCCTCAAGCCCAAGAGTCCAAATGAACCTTCCACCTTATACATTGATTTTTGTCAGAGTGAAAAGATAAGGTTATACCATGTTTTACTACATTCATCCCTGTATAAGAGTTCCAGTTACTCCACATTTTTTGTACCATATGATTATATTCACTTTATAAAGGAGATATTTCAGTGTTCATCCACATCAAACCAAGTCTGATGATGCTCAGTGGGTAACAACTATGTGCAACCCTAACCCTAACAGTAGTACAAAAATGAAGGTTCCAAATACATTAACAAATGTTTGGTGTAATCAATAATTAATGTCTAATAGAGAGTAAATTAACTACAGGGGTGTGTAAAAACAGAGTCTAATCTATGACTCTGCTAAAAGAAGGAAAATATGGCATCACAAAGGACAAAAGGCTGTGAGGATGTGAGGAAGGAACTTGAAACAGAAGTTAGAATTCAGTATCCATGGCAGATTGTCTGTTGATAGTCCTAAGGATATTTAAAGCTATGCATACTCAAGTTTCACATATAAAACAGTGTGGTATTTACATATAAGCTATGCACATCCTTCTGTGTAATTTAAATCACCTCTAGATTACCAAAATACTTCATGTAATGTGTTTGTAGTTGTCATACTGCACTGCTTGAGAATAACAAGGAAAGTCTCTATATGTTCACTACATATACCATTTTAAAAAATGTTTTATATTCATGATTTTCTTGAACCCAGTCAATGTAGGAACAACATATCTAGATAGCCAAAGGAGTTGTCTAGTATGCATCAAATTTATATTGGATGAAGTTCAGAAAACTAGTGAAGTGAAGTCAGGTAAACCAGCAAGCTTGTCCAAGTCTCAATTCCTTTTTCACTTTAAAGAAAAGTTAAAGCAGATGATGCCTGGATTAATTAATTAATTAATAAGGTTAGTTTTAGTGGCCTATGAGTCTTTTTAAAGGAAAATATTTAAGATCTGTATGAATACAGAAAACCACCATCATGCTTGCCAGGAGCAATGTTTGAGCTTTTTTAAAGCAGATAAGAGAAGAAATGGTGGCAAATATGTCCACAAACTCTTTTGCTTCATGCTCATCATCAAAGAATTTTGAGTTGGAAGTACTTAAACCTCCATGCCTATTTGTAGTCAAGGAAAATAAATCTATACTAGCACTTTACTTTGATGTTGATTACATAGGAAATTAATAGACAAAAATCCAAAGGTTGTGCACTGAGGAATAGTGTGAACTGTTTAAATTTTGTCTCAGTTCATTACCTTTCCATGGAAACTTCCCAGCTATTAATTCCTATAACTTCACAGGATATTTGATATACATGGATAATATAAAAATGTTTATGAGCTCATGTTTATATAAATGTGTATTTTTTAAAAACAATTTTATGCTATACAAATGGTATTAGATACATGGTCCCATAATGTTCATGATTATCAAGAAAAGGATAGATATGTTCTCTCCTACAGTCTGAGCCTTCATTCCACTGTGATGTTGGAGCACAAGTATGGTGCAAGGTGACCTTCTGGCAAGTGCAGAGACCAAGAGGACCCAGGGAGTGAAGGGGGCAGCCGAGGCGCTATCTGTGTTTTACATCTACTTACAAGTCATTATTCTATGGTGTTTTTAAGCATTTAGTTAATAGTTAGTCTAATTTTTTTTTATTTCAGTCTCTTCCTTCTTTTCCATTGCTCTTTCTAGTGATGGGACAGGCTAATAGATTACTTATCACTTTAGATATGATGTAGACTGTGTGGTCTGGGTACCACTTTTAGTTTCCTGGGTGCTGCCTCAGGTTCACTGAGTTCCAGATATGTCTGTACAGATGTGCTTGTCTTTCGGAGTCAGTAGGCTCTCTCAGGCAGCTATTTTTATGTCAACACATATTTATATGTCTTTATACATTCTCTCAGGTAAAAATTTCGTGTTACACTTAAGAACAGATATACCAAACAACACAGTGGGATGCTTGTGGAAAGTGATACTTCTCCAATCAGCTCAAGTTCCTGGAGTAATTTGATCACTCTAGCAGGCAAAGGGTAAGACTGATGGAAAAGCACTATTCTTGCTGTCAAAGTGAGGAAATCTAAGGTGCTCCATGATTTAAATATGCCACAGCTTGTCCTTTGTGGTAAGGATGGCAAGCTTCTAGGGGGTAATCTTTCTTCTTTACACCGTGTTATTTGGTTTACAGATCTCCAAAGTTTAGCCCAAACTATATCCAGGACTTGACAAAGCCAAGAGAAATACAATATGCCCTTCACAAACTATTCCTTATGGCTGGCTCATGAATTGACAAATTCCCTCCATGGGGGCAACTTACCTATTGGAAATCTTCTTGCTGACACTCTGTTGGCTCATTTACGCTGTCAACCTGACTGTTCATTTCAACTGTAAACAGAAAATGTTAAACAATTATCAAACCTAGAACCTTAAACACATGAAAATGGCCACTACAGTTTGAAAGCATTCCCATTTCCTGTCTATGCCTTTTCTGTTTTCATTTATTCATGACACGGGATCAGGAGGTTAGGAATCACTCTCCTCTCAGCTGAACTGTCATTTCATGCAAGATTTGTGGTTTGGCAGTTTGCGTGTGTTTATTACCACCCTTAAGTAAATAAATTCAATGCCTTAATAGATATCTAGGAAAACAAAGAGAAAACAAAGAAAAGCAGATCATTGGCATGCAGAGAGGTACTCTGCTCCCTCCATAGTGGCAATGCCCCATCCATAGTGGCAATGCCAATAGACCTGTTTGGTTTGCTGTGTTTACAATTTCAGAATTCAAAACAGTTCCTGTAAAATTGCCAGTGGGTACAATAGCCAGTAGATGCCATGAGATAGAAAAGCAACACATGTGCCTTTTACTTGATTGTGTTCATTCTATGTGGGCATTTGCATAAAAATAGAATGTATAATTATTGCCTTTCTCCAGACGTGGCCCAAAGCAGTCACTCTGGAAATTTCCAAGGGTCAGCAAGTTTAATGAGATTTTTACTATCCAAGCCCATACTGTAAACTAAGAAAATAAATATAGAAACGGACAGTGGGGGACAGGGAATATAGCTCAGTTGGTAGAGTGCTTGTCTCAAATGCTTGAGTCATGAATAGATTTCCTAGCAACACACATGGGAAACAGAAAATGACAGATAATTACAACAGTAAAACTCTGACTTCAAATCCCTGGCAAGCAAACATAACCTCTAGTACAAATGTCCAGGACCAGTGCTGGTAGTCATCAGCTCACTGTTGTTTTCAATTTGCAAGAAATTAAGGAAAGACACTTGACTACTTGTTGGTCTTCTTATGCCAACCACCTCCAAATACAGGATCCTTAACTGTACAAATCCCCCTTGCCTGCCAAACATGGGAAATACTAATATCATCACTATAATAACCTTTATTTATTTTTATTTGGGATTTTCATTTATTTGCACAAGCCAACAACCTAAATTCCTTGTTTTTTGTTCAGAACATGAAAGAGTAAAAGAATGAAATAATGGTGGATGCTGGTTCCACACTACAAAGATGCTTGGAAGAGCAATGCCCTTGGATGGCACTCCAGGACCTCTCCCAGGACTGCAGGCTTAAAATTCTGGTCTCTCTTCTCTTACCTGGAAACTGCACCATTTTATTAATTATTTGTGATCGCATTTCAGACTCCATCTGTAAACTGACCAGATGCAACAGTTCTCTCAGCAAGAGAAGCATTCATGCACTGTTCAACCTGGCCCACAGATTCCCTCTCAGAGTGGAGTATGCGGGGTTAAGCACTGAGAAGCACTTCTGTTCCTTCTTCTAGTCAAAAGACACCAGGTCTACAACCTATTAATGCATGTTCTACAAAAAGCATTCCACGATAAAATAACTCTTTGGAAAAGTAATGTAAAATCATATTAAAGAAGTTCTTGCTGAGTCTACAGGTCACCACTGCATCTAGGGCAAAGACACAGGATTTTCCACATCAGTTTCTTGTTCTTTAAGCATCAGTGGATGGGCTGGACATCCTCAGAGCTTACTTTGTGAAGAAGTGGTAAGGAACCATGTCCATAGTTTTAGGAGCACCGTTGTCAGGCTGTCAGGGGTCTTTAGTGGGTGGGTCTTGGGCTGGAGCATCCTCTGGGTAAGGAATGCTCCTGTGTAGAGGACTTTGAATTAAGGGAGGCAGTTCAGGTGATGGCAAGCCTTCGGGATGGAGAAATGCCTGCTCTAAGAAGCTGTACTCAGACCTACCACGTTACTTCCCCTTATGGCTGAATTATTCCCGAGGTGATTATTAACTCAAAGTCATTTGCTTTTCTTTTTTACCCCTGAGAAACTCCTCAAAAGTGGAGAAATGTGGAGCTGACCAGCTAATCAACTAGCTTTACAGGAGCAGTGGATCTGCTGAGAGACCATGGTGCCTGCCGTTAGTGTAACAGAATGAGAGTTTGGTTGAAGGCTGGAGCAGGGGAGTGCAGTCTACCCTTGATGGAAAAACCGTTCTTCCTCAACTGGGGAAGGTCATCCTCTTTGACTCAGCAGGAAACTTCAGGAAGGATGCTTATGGAGCTATGAGGGAAGAAGGGGACCACTGCCTAGCGATCCAGATCAGCCAAATCAACACTGGCAATAAATGGGGTGACAGATGTCACGCTCACATTTTAGTGTAACAAACAAAAAGACACATTGAAGCAGGCAGCAGGAAAAGACTTGTGGTATCCTTCCCTTCACTCCAAACAGTCCAGCTTGGGGAGGTGTTCCTTGCTTATGAGAGGGACATATAATTGATTTCAAGCCTTAAACCTGAAACCTAGAACAAAGCTAGCCACAGTGAAATCTGGTGCTGGAGAAAGGCCTGTGACCCCCAGGCACCAGGTAGAGCCCTAGGGCCTGAATCTCTAAAACTACATTAGGCTTGGTAGCTAACTACCTCTACAAAGTCTTCTTAAATCTATAGTAGCAGAGTGGAGAACAAGACCCTCCCAGAGGGGAAGAAAGGTATGAAAGCAAGCTAGCATCAGGATTTGTCTGGACCCCAGTATCATTCCTGCTGCACTTTGATCCAAGACCTGGTAGAAAGTGAAGATCTTGTTTGTCAGCCACAGCTCAAAGCCTGTAGTCCAGTTCTAACATCAGGCAGAGACCTGTGGGCTCCAGGAATAGACTCTACTTTGGGCCTGCATCGGGTCCAGCTTTGGCAACCTATAGCATAGATGCTCCTTTCCTGTGGCTATGAAAATCTCTGTAGCTATGAGCCTTGTATGTGACCCAGCTTAGCGCCAGCCTTTGCTAGCCAAAGGATGGTTTCTATTATTTATCTCACATCTCAGGTAATGCGGCTTTAACAAGCCAGTTAACAGAGTTCCAGTCTTGTCCTTGAACCGGGAATAGACTGTGCCTCGTGTTTTGGCTTACATCAATACCAAATGAAGTGTTGTTCCTTGGTGTACGTGACCATGCAGGTCCTTGCTAACATGAGACTTAGGCACATCTCGGCTTAGCGTCAGTGAGGATTGCTTTGGTCAACACTAACTCAACCTAGGATATTGTAAGACCAAATCTCTGAGTGTAGAACAGGGTAGTTAAGTGATAGGTTTTAGCAGCCCAGGGCCAAGTTCCAGAATAAAATCTAACACTGAGGAAGAGCTAATTTCTAGGCTTGGCTACTAAGAGCTCTGGAAGATCTCCAAGGCAAGGTAAAGATGTGAGGTACTGGACTTCCAAAGCAGGTAGCATAGCTTGGGCTGGCTGCAGAAATCTGTTGCCACAATTCCACTTCACCAGTGTGCAATCACATGAGTGTGGGCCTTGGACCTACCCCAATGTTGTGCTACTCTTGGCAGCACCACTGGCTATGAATGTGACATTGGAGCTGTAGGTCAGTCTATCAACAGTGAATTTTTCTAAAGTCAGTCTGAGCCTGCCCTGGCACCTCACCACAGACTGATAACTGTGGATAACAGAGACCAGTTTATGGGGACAGACACAATTTCTTTATGAACAATAAAATCAAGAGTGTGTTTGGACAAATTTGGGCTGAGACAATATATACTCCCCACAGACCTAGGAGCCACCCAGTGCTGAAACATGTGCAGCCTGTTTCAGATTTCTGGAAGATGGGTGCTGACAAAACTCTGCAGCAGCTCACTATTTGATACTGAAATGGCCTCACATGCCAACAATATCATAATATTTCGAGGAAACTGTGACCTTACCTCACACTCAAAATAAGATGCCAGAAACTTACTGGCTAGGAACCAGTATAGAATAAAAAAACAATACAGGAGAACTCTTAGGGAACTTAAATACTTGTTTTAGGGAAAGAGCTTATGATAGAAGAAAACAGAAATGCTACAAAGATAAAGGAATTTTAAAAAATCACCGGCAAAATCTGAGCTGAAAAAAATATGCCCATCAAATTAAAACCACAATAGAAGGTACCAGGAGATTAGTTGAAAAGAACCATTAGTGAGCTAGAATTCATGCTACCATGAGAGGCACAACCAAAAATAAGGAAGGCAGATAATGTGTCTTTGGCACACTGTTAAAAGAACAAATATTTGGGTAATTGGAATTCAAGAATGGCATGATGTGATATTTTATTTGTACTGAAATGTTATTTTAATTTTATGTTAATAAATAAAGTTGCCCTGGGGTCAGAGCTATTAGAGCCATAGCAAGAGCATGGTGGTTAGAAGAGCTAGGTAGATTTCTGTGTGTTCAGGGATACAGCCAGTATTGGAGACATACGCCTTTAAGACCTGGAGGGCAGTACTTACAGGCAGTGATGAGGCAGTCATGTGGTTGGGTTTACAACCAATGAGAAGGCAGAACAGAAAGATTATTTAAACAGGGACACAGGAAGTACCTCCCTCTCTCGGGGAAGCTAGGAGCACTGCAGGAGGTAAGATTTTATCTCTGAGCTCTGACCTCTCGGCTTTCTCTTTTACATTGGCTCTGTGTTTCTTATTTTAAAAAGACGATTGGTTACATCTACAGCATGACAATACCAAAGGAGTAGAAATTACTGAAAGAAATGATAGAACCCTTTTCTCATGAAAGATAGAAACATTCAGATATATGAAGGTTAAAGGTCACCTGTAGCTCAAATTCTAATTGGTCTTCATAATAAAAATCTGGAATCAAATATAGATGTAAATGCTGAAAGATCAGAGAAGTAAAGGAGCTAGCCAAAGTCAACTCTTACCTCCATGACTTCTCAGACCAAAAATGGGGCCAAGCTCCTGTCTTCTCCTGCCTTGTGTCTCCACCTCCCTAGTGCTGGGATTAAAGGTGTGAGCCTCCACCACCTGGCTCTGTTTCACTTTTAGACTGGATCAATCTCCTGTAGCCCAGGCTGGCCTTAAACTCCTGATCTTCCTGCTTTCTCCTTGCAAGTGCTGGGA